CCAGATTTTTGAAAGAAATTTTTTTGCATCTAATTATTGAAATGTGAAGTTAAAAAATGGGTATTAGTGTAATTTCCTCAATTGCATCAGACAACAAAAATATAAATATATGGATATTTAATTCATTAATTAATTGCCAATTTTTAACATTGAAATCATCTCAATTACCATTTTAATTGGATAATGCTATTTAGTCACATTAAGATTGCAACCTCAATCTAGATGCCTGTAATATGTCATTAATTGATAAGTAGAATTAAATAACTCATTTAATTTCACATTTCATTTAACATATTATCTAATACTATCTAAATTGGGATTGCAACTACAGTGAAGTTACATAGTATTACTTATTTTAATGTGGTAGTAATTCCACTATATGTTATTTTGTTAGATGTAACGAATAAAGGCACGAAAAATAGTCAAATGTCGCATTAAACCTAAGATGGCATATCTTTCTTCATCAGTTTATGTTTTCTTTGTTATTTCTGTTCAAATTTTGTCTAAAAGAGGTAGAAGAAATTATGTATTAATTATTTAGAGCACTCAACTAGCAATTTTTATTATTATTATTTTTTAATATTTCAAGGTTTCAGTTTGTGCCTGCCTCCCACTTAGCTTGGCCATCTCAAAGAGTTTATATTATATTGCAAGTGTTTAATGTTAAAAATTATTAATTAAAGTTAGGTTAAAAACGGGTGTGGTAGCTTAGATCCTCTCGGTGGAGAGTATTTTATTCTTTCTTCCTTTTCATCTGCACGTAAGTGGCGATGGATCCATCTTCTAGAGTCAAATTATATATACGTCTCTTCATGGACGGACCCACAGAGGGTCATGTGGGGTCAATTGACCCCACAGAAATTTCTGTTCTTCTTTTTTTTTTTATTTGTAATGATATGTAAATTATCCGAACTTTGTCCATTGTGAAGCCTTTTTTTAAGGGAAGGGTTCATAAATCAGGCTTTAAGTATGCATAGTTCAAAATTCAAGTTACAAGTTTCATTAATTCAAAAATTAGATTTGACTAATTGATTAAAAATATTTATTAAATAATGATAATAAAGTCAAAGTTATATGATTAATGTTCACAGAATCACAATTATAAGTCACATATTTATTTACTAATTACATATCATCAAATTAATTTGTCACGGATTTGTTTGATGTCACAAATCAAAATTTTGTATGTCACAATTTATGTTATTGGTCACAAATTCAAAAAATTATAGGTCACAGGTCACATGTTTTCAAATTTGATGATTACAGATTACTTTTTAGTCACAAATGATCAAATTTTAAGGTTACAGAGGGAACAAATAGTTGGTCACAGACATCCAACACCCGATCCCGATCCATCAGTTGATCGCATACACTACCTCACCCCGCCGCAACACCACCACCATGACCACCACTCCAAAACCCGACAAACTTTAACTAAAATACCTCAACAACAACCATCGAACTAAGCCAAGCAGGCCACTCACCCACCACCGCCACCACTCTAAAAACCAACAAACACCTAAACACCACACCAATACACTTCCACACAAAACAGGCGGTGATCACACCACCAACACCTACACCTGCAACCAAGGCCGCAACTTCCATGACCACCGCCACCACTTACACTCGGTTGCAATAGAAAGAATGAAAAAAGGTCGGATACACGGCTTCATCATTTCCTCCCAAATCAACCCAATCAAAAAAAAAAACAACAACAACTCCAAATTCAGTTTTGTGCCTTATATTTTTTCCAATCTGTCGACTGCAGACTGCCATTACCATTTATGATTTATCTACCGTTTGAAAGTTTGATTGTGACCCCCTAACTTAAAGTGTCTGGATCTGCCTCTGGGGTTAAATAAGACAACTAGTAATGCCAAGTAAGAAATTATTTACTTTGCTCGATTGTATCCAAAGCTTGCTTTTATCACTTGCTATGCTCAAGAGGTCAATCCAACATGAGAAATTCGTGTGCACGGAGTGCATTCATCCTTATTGTTAGTTGGGTTGGTATAGGGATGGCAAAAAAATTCGTTCAATTCGATATTTGTGGGGCCCTACTTCGAATGAGGTGGAAATGACCCGTCTAACCTAGTAAATGGGATGGGTATGGGACAATAGTCATGTTTCCGAAGTGGGTATGGGGTGGGTACAGGAAACATAGTCCCCGCCTCGCTATCCGCCCCGTTTAAATTTAATTTCAAATTTAAGTTTTTATCAAACAAAAATAATAGATTTATCGTCATTTTTAAAGAGAATATAAGTTGTTTTTAACAAATTGCTAAAAAAGTAATAATTGTTACTAACTAAAGACACAAAAAGAAAAGCAAAAAATAAAATCAATAAAAAAGAAAAAATAAATGGGGTAGGGACCTACCTGATCTCGCTTTAATCAGGTATGGGTATAAGGTAAGATAACAAAAATATTCGACGGGACAGAGGTGAGAATGGTTGACCCGTCCCATACTCGTCTCATTGTCATCCCTAAGTTGGTATAGTTGTTATATTTAATCGGTAGTGTATGCAGTGGAATCAAGTTCTCATATATCGTATCAGTATTTTAGACACCGGATTCACACTTATCGTATTTGACAATTGCTTACCGTATTTGGCAGCTGCTTACCGTATTTGACAGTACAACTCACTGTATTTGGTAGTGCAATTCACCGTATTTGGCAGGCAGTCACCGTATTTGGCAGAGAATTAAACACAGAATTTTCACAACTATTTGTTTTCATACAATGACTTTAGATAACATAGAATTTAGTGTTTGTTTTCATAAAATTTGCACAAACACAATTTCAAAAAAAAATTCAAATAATTTTTTTCTTAATTTTATTTTTTACAAATTACTTAGATACAGACAGCAATATAAATTTCAGAAAGCTAAATAAAATCTGAAAGCATGTAAATCTGCAAATAATTAAAGCACAGATACTCAAACCGGAAGCATATAAATTTGGAAATAAACTTTTAACCCCGAGGCCTGTATAAATACAGTTTCCTTAAGACAAATTCGTCCCCTCACCGTAGTGTTAGAGGTTTAGTTCAAGCGCCTGTCTCCCAGGATACAACGATAACCAGCAGAATCCGAGCACTGCGGTTCTACTCCGACGAACTGGGCGAATGTTCGAACAATATCACTTTACTGGAATGGACACAGGAGGAGACAGAAAACAAGGCAGACGAAAATTGCAGTGTATAAACTACTGGAAATTGAGTGAAATTATACAGACTGAATCCGACCATTAGTTTCTGCATTAACCATTGTAGTTTTCGAAGTTACACTTCGATTTCAACCATTGGAGTTTTAAGAGTTTCAAACACTCAAAAGTCATTTGAAAAAATCACAAAAAAATGTAAAACGCAGACAATTCAAATTGGCCAGTTTTTGCTCTCTTCGGTCCGACATTCGTGTGCGCAGGTCGCGCCTACACCTAAGTTCAAGGTCCGAAGGCTATTTCTGTCCGTGATTTGCACCCCCTGCGCGCGCACGTGGAGAGAGCATCTATGCTACACATGATCACACCATTCCAATGCATAGTCATATATAAAGTGGTTTTGGTTTCCATGTTTTTCCTATGTGGGACAAAGTTAACTGTAGTTTTCCCACCAAAATAGACCATTTTCAATGGTCCACTTTAAACTCTAATTTTTCATTCACCCGAGCTTCATTTCTGGCAAATAAATACATCACTTCGATGTTCTCGCGGAGGAGAGCACATATCAACTTTGATATTTCAAATTGGACCAACGGGTCCCATCGAAAATTGTGCCAAAAGTGATCCGCTCATTCATTTTTCCAACAATCCCCCACATGAATGAAAATTGGGAGAAACAGGAAACGTGAGACATAAGACTTGGTGATAAAGTTCAACGGTTGAAACCTGCACAGGATAGGTAGGTGTTACCATTTGAACCTTCCCTTGTGAAAGCATATTTACTTTACTGACTGACCAGTAGGCGCGATGTCTTTGAACTGTTCTGCCGTTTGTGTAAACGATGATATACTTCACACAGGATTCTTCCTAACACCCTTCAGTTTTCATTATTATGTTTGTTTTGGCCATAAACATATGCCTGGTTCTGTGAGAATTTATAAGAATTGAGCCCCACACAATTCTCTTAGAAGCGGCCCCACTTCTTTCTCACATAGGTGATTTTTTATTACAAGTAATCCGCATTACTTGGCTCGATTTTCGACGCGTAAGAATCATTAAAGACCTATTGCTTAACCTTCATCCTTACGGGCATCACTGTTATATCATAGGAATGGACATGAGGTGATACCCCACAGTGATTTTATCAAGTCTTTACAGTTAGGTTGTCCCTTTGAACCTAAATTTTGGGATCTCCAGTCAACTAGGTTGGGTTTTCTTTGTAATGACTTATTCTTTCAAGGGCTTGAGTTCCATTCCTTTCGCTGATTTCCCAACTAACTCTCTATTTAACCCTTTGGTTAGCGAATCCGCAATGTTATCATTTGACCTAACATAGTGAATTGTGATAACTCCAGTTGAGAGTAGTTGTCTAATGGTATTGTGTCTACGACGTATATGTCTCTACTTACCATTGTACATGTTACTCTGTGCCCTTCCTATTACTGATTGACTGTCACAATATATGTAAATTGCAGGCACAGGTTTGGACCATCTTAGAATATCCTCTAAGAAGTTGTGCAACCATTTGGCGTCTTCATCACATTTATCTAGGGCTATAAACTCGGATTCCATCGTAGATCTGGCTATAACCGTTTGATTAGAGGATTTTCACGAGATGACAGTACCTCCCAAAGTGAACACATATCCACTGGTAGACTTTGAATCTTTTATATTAGATATCCAATTAGCATCACCGTATCCTTCAATGACCGCTGGATGTCTGGTGCAGTGTATTCCATAGTCACGAGTATATCTTAAGTACCTCCATATTCTTACTATACCTTTCCAGTGATCATTTCCTGGATTACTCGTATATCTACTCAATTTACTGACTGTGTAGGTTATGTCTGGTCTTGTACAACTCATTAAGTACATTAGACTTCCAATAATCCTCGAGTATTCGACTTGAAAGACACTTTCACCCTTATTTTTGGATAGATGTTGACTTGTATCTATCGGTGTTCTGGCCAAACTACTATCATCCTTACTGAACTTTTCCAAAATTTTGTCCAAATAATGTGACCTGCTTAGAACAAGCCCATCTAATGTTCTTGAGATTTTAACTCTAAGTATAACATCGGCTAAACCCATGTCTTTTATATCAAATCTCGAATTTAATATATTTTTAGTGGATTCAATCATCTTATTATTACTACCAACAATAAGTATGTCGTCAACGTAAGGACATAAAATGATATAGCCATCTTTAGTGTCTTTGACGTAAAGTATCAGAACTATCGCAAGTATCACCCTAATAGATGTTATTCTCGTAACTGGAGAATACGTATCAAAGTAATCAAGGCTTTCCCTTTGTTTGTAACATTTTATTACTAATCTGGCCTTGTACTTTTCGATAATTCTATCTAGTTTCATTTTTCTTTTGAAAATTCATTTGTAGCCTAGTGGTTTGCATCCAGGAGGAAGATCCATTAGCTCCCATGTATGATTTTGCAGTATGGAATCTATTTCACTTTTAATGGCATCTTTCCATTGAGATCCTTCCGAGAAAGTCACAGCTTCTTGATAACATTGAGGTTCACTTTCTAGCATATAGGTCAGAAAATCAGGATCATAAGACTTTTCTGTCGTTTCCAGTTTGCTGCGTCTAACCTCAGTCTCTTCTTCTAATTCTTCGTCTTGACTATTTTCAGTCATTGTCTCATATGTTTGTTTAAAGGAGCTGGCTTCCTCTTTGGACCTGTATGAAAATACTTTTTCAAAGAATGAAGCATTCTTCGATTCCATTATCGTGTTTTTGTGTATGTCTAGAATTTTTGAATCATATACAAGAAATCGATAAGCACTGCTATTATGTGCACAGCTAATGAAGACACAGTCTATAGTTTTCGGGCCTATCCTTACCTTCTTTGGTATTGGAACAACCACTTTTGCAAGACACCCCCACACTCGGAAATGTTTATAGGTAGACTTTCTTTCTTTCCGTAACTTATAAGGGGTCTTTTCCGATTTCTTTCGGGGCACCTTATTTAAAAGGTAATTTGCTGATAACATAGCTTCCCTCCACATGTTCTGAGGTAACCCAGAACTTACTAGCGTTGCATTTATCATTTTTTTAAGGTACGATTTTTTCATTCAGCTACACCGTTTTGTTGCGGTGAATAAGGTGCAGTGATTTCATGTATGATTATGTGTTGTGCACAGAAATCGACAAACGATGCTCTATACACACCATCTCGATCACTCCATAGTACCTTAATTTTCTTATTAAGTTGAGTTTCAACTTTATTCTTATAGAGAACAAATTTCTCTGTAACTTCATCCTTGCTTTTAAGCAGATACACATAGCAGTATTTTGTGCCATCGTCAACAAAAGCAATAAAATACTTGTTGTCACCTCTTATTTGTACAAGTTTTAAGTCACAAACATCACTGTGAATTAAATCAAGTAGTTCCGTGTTCCGTTCAACTGACTTAAAGGATGACCTTGTCAATTTTGTCTCAATACAAGTTTCACACTTATGTTCAGAATCATTATGGAACTTGGATATGCAATTCGAGTTAACTAGTCTACATAAAGTATCATAGTTAATATATTCTAATCTACCATGGCACAAATTGGAAGACTCAGAGCAAATAGGCAGAAGAATTTGCTTTATTTATCTTTTGTTTCACAACATTACATTCAACTTAAACATACCGTCAGAAATATAACTTTTTCCGACAAATATTCCACTTTTTGATAAAATGACTTTATTTGACTCAAATATAATATGAAAATCATGCATATTTAAAAGCGATCCGGACACTAAATTCTTACGAATTTTCATCACATAGTACATTGTTGAGAGTCAGCTCTTTTCCCGAGGTCATCTTTAGAATCACCTTTCTCTGACCCTTAATTTCAGAGGTTGTTGAATTTTCCATGAACAACTTCTCCCCGTTCTCAATTGTTTCGAATTCTTTCATCTTCTTCTTTGGCATTCTGCACTTCGAAGACTTGTGGCCTACTTTGTCACAATTGAAGCATTTCCCTAGAAATTTCTTCTTAGAAATTCCACATTTTGGTCCGTGCTTGGTCTTTTTTCCTTCGGATAGCCCAAACTTGTTTTTGTAAGTCTTACTGCTTTGACCATGGTCCACAACATTGGCTTTAGCCATACCAGGATTGAACCACTTCTTTTCTGAACTTTTGTTGTCTTCTTCAATTCGAAGTCTAATAATAAGTTCTTCAACGTTTATTTCCTTTCGTTTGTGTTTCAAATAGTTTTTGAAATCTTTCCATGCGGGGGATAATTTTTCAATAATTGCTGCCACTTGAAAGGTTTCACTCAACATCATCCCCTCAGTATGAATTTCGTGAAGAATCATTTGGAGTTTTTGTACTTGACTGATAACGGTTTTGGAGTCCACCATCTTATGGTATAGGAATTTGCCGACTATAAACTTTTTAGCTCCGGCATCCTCAGTTTTGTATTTTCGGTCCAAAGACTCCCACAACTCCTTAGCAGTTTTTATCGTGCTATACACATTGTATAGCGTGTCTGCTAAACTATTTATAATGTAGTTTCGGCATAAAAAGTCCGAATGCTTCCAAGCATCAAGTGCACTGACTGCTTGAATATCTCCTTCTCCTTCATTGAGTACATGAGCAGTCTCGGTCAAGAATCTCGCAAGATTCAAGGTGGTCAGGTAAAACAGCATTTTCTACCGCCACCTCTTGAAATTCAAGCCATTGAATTTCTCCGACTTCTTTCCATGATTAACCGGAATAATAACCGTTTGGCCAGTTGTTGGAGCCACATTTTGACTCACGACACGACTGGGCAAGTTAGCCACAGCAGAGCTTGGCCCTTGAGCCCTAGTAGAGCCCACAACTTGATTTCCAGTTGGAAAGTTTGGGTCACATCCATGTTGGTTGGTTCGGCAACCATTTCTGAAAATGAAACAATTATTAGTTTCCAATAAACAAATAAACTTATTTACTATCAATATGTATTAAGGATTTGTCTTAGGTTTGTTGTTATATTTAATCGGTAGTGTATGGAGTGGAATTGGGTTCTCATATACCGTATTTGTGTTTTAGACACCGAATTCACACTTACCGTATTTGGCAATTGCTTACCGTATTTGGCAATTGCTCACCGTATTTGGCAGTACAACTCACCGTATTTGGCAGTGCAACTATCCGTATTTGGCAGGTAGTCACCGTATATGGCAGTGACCGTATTTGGTAGAGAATTAAACACAGAATTTCCACAACTATTTGTTTTCATACAATGACTTTAAATAACAAAAATTTGGTGTTTGTTTTCATATAATTTGCACAAACACAATTTCGAAAAAAAATTCAGATAAATTTTTTTCTTAATTTTATTTTTCACAAATTACACAGATACAGACTATTATCTAAATCACTACTTGAATAAGAATGACAAATTATATTATTTGTAGAAACATAAAAACAGTATAAATTTCAGAAAGCTAAATAAAATCTGAAAGCGTGTAAATCTGCTAATAATTAAAGCACATATACTCAAACTGGAAGCATATATATTTGGAAATAAACTTTTAACCCCGAGGCCTGTGTAAACACAATTTCCTTAAAACAAATTCGCCCCTTTACCATAGTGTTAGATGTTTAGTTCGAGCGTCTGTCTCCCAAGATATAACGGTAACTAGCAGAATCCAAGCACCGCGATTCTACTCCAACGAACTGGGCAAGTGTTCAAACAATATCACCTTACTAGAATGGACATAGGAGGAGACAGAACAAAAATAGAAAACAGAACTGTACGAAGGCAGATGAAAATTGCAGTGTATAAACTACTGAAAATTGAGTGAAATTATACAGATTGAATTTGACCATTAGTTTCTGCGTTAACCATTGTAGTTTTCGGAGTTACACTTCGGTTTCGACCATTGGAGCTTTAGGAGTTTCAGACACTCAAAAGTCATTTGGAAAAATCACAAAAAAAAATTGCAAAACACAAACAATCCAAACTGGCCAGTTTTTGCTCCGTTCGGTCCGACATTCGTGTGCGCAGGTCACGCCCGCACCCAAGTTCAAGGTCCAAAGGCTATTTCTATCCGTGATTTGCACCCCCCTGAGCGCGCACATGGAGAGAGCCTCTATGCTACACATGATCACACCATTCCAATGCATAGCTATATATAAAGTGGTTTTGGTTTCCATGTTTTTCTATGTGGAACAAAGTTCACTATAGTTTTCCCACCAACATAGACCATTTTCAATGGTCCACTTTAAACTCCAATTTCTCATTCACTCGAGCTTCATTTTTGACAAATAAATACATGACTTCAATGTTCTCGCGGAGGAGAACAAATATCAACTTTGATCTAAATTGGACCAACGGGTTCCACCGAAAATTGTGACAAAAGTGAGGCTGCTTACTCATTTTTCCCAACAGGTATCATATTAGCGTCATTATCTATGATAAACACGTCGAGAAATAAGGAGCTATCTATTTTGACTAAGCATCGCATGGGCCTAGAAGGCTGCTATCAACGCCAATCACGAAACCTTAAATCAAATCAACAAATAAAGCCAGATCACGAATACATACCTCAAGTTTGGCTTGGCTTAGAGTTGAACCATGATGCGACACACATTTCTAGTCGTACATGTTTTGTCATTGGTCTAATTATCGACATGATGACTCAATTTAGCACAGGTCTAATTATCAACATGATGACGCAATTATCAAATTTGATATGTTGCAGTGCTAGTTTGAATTTGAAAGTGGAATAAGCCTCACAAACCACTACTATTCACGAAAATATTTTTCAATTTAAAATTATCGTAAGTATAAGGTTCGTTAACAAGTAATAAATTAGATTTGAATCCAAGTATTGTCCCACAAAGATTGATTTAGTTCGATTTTAACTATCGCGACCTTAATCGAAAACAAGAATAATAAGATGTGTTTGTTTGTGACGAATTTATAACTAAAATAATCTACTTATGTAATTATGAATAAATTAACTAAACTAAGTGAAAATTATGCCAAATACAAGTTGATGTGTTCTAATGGATGACAAAAGCACTAGGATCGTGAATCCCCAAGCTATAATTCTTTCGAACCTTAGTTTTATACTTTGACAATACGACTGAACTTTGAAGAATCAATGTTATTATTTCATTCTACAATCTCTCTCGAGTAATGTTAAATCTATTCTCATATATGATCCGACTATATTTCTATGATGGATGTAAATATACAAGAGTATATGAATTTTTATGAACATATAAAAATTCACATAAGACAGAGAGATATATTTTTATCCTATATCGAACCCTATGATGATTTGCACCATGTCGACCCTATATTTCTTTCTTTCGAATGCATAAAATAAGCTACACCAGATTCATACAACTATCGTTCACAATAGTTGTAGAGAAAATATAATCACGCAAACCATTCAAAATCCAAAAATATATTTTCTTTGTCAAATATGGAAACTAAATATTTAAAACTCATATTAATAGGTTCATTATTTTCCTAATCAAAGTAATCTAACCTAACATGTTGTGAAGAGGAAAGCAAAAGATATTAAAGTTGTTCACCACCTGAAAAATTTTGAATTCAATATTGATGTTCTTGAATTTTGATGTATTCTTTGTCTCCTTTTGCAATTTATTCTCTACAGCCCTAACTATGTGCTGAGAGTTAGTGTTTGTAATATTCTCCAAGAAGTCCCAAAAGTCCTAGAATTCGTGAAAAAAAATCAACCCAAGAGGAATTCCTTGTTAGATTAAGATTCTGAACAAAAATCAGTTTTTCGTCGCGATTGGCATGACCAATCGCCCAGTTTGGTTTTCATCGTCGGGCGGTTGCCTAGACTCGCGCTAGTTATATCAACTTTCAAATGATGTATTTGGTCCTCGAATTCAATTCTTGATTCTTTAAAATTTTTTCTCTTGGAATTTCAACCCTTGATTTTTAATTGCGTCCAATTGAACTGTAACGTCTTTAATCTTTATTTTGTGGTCCAAATCAACTATTGAAGTGTTGCAATTTAGCCCTCGTACCTTGGATTTCACCTTTTTTTCTTTTCCAATTGCTTAGAAACAGATCCATCATTGAGATAAATGAAAATTGACCCAAGTTTAGTAGAAGTAAACACTTTCATAAAGTAATATGGTCTGAATAAATGTACAAAATGCACTTATTAACTGCTATTTAAATTTTGTAAAACAATATTAGAATATGATGTAGTGAATTTTAATATTATGATAAAACCAATCAAAATCTTGTTCATTTTTATTTATTTGGATCAATATCTAACTGACTTGAGCATAGCGGTCTAATATTTTTTGCTGAATGCGCATATCAAATAAAATATTTAATTTGAGTTGTCGACAAAAAGTCCAAGAGTTGTTTTATGTGAATGATAAATTTTTTTTTATGTCAGTCCATAAAGTTCATTTTATTTTAAAATGGTCACTTACTTTTCATTTTAATTAGGTTATTTAGTGTGGGACATGGAAGCATCCAGTGTTGACGCCATAATATATTATTGTCTTATAAGTAAGACATTTTAGAAAATTAATGAATTGTTTGAGCTTTAGTTTTCAAAAGAATGAATTTTATAATAGTGATTTTTGAATAGTGCGTGATTAAAAAGTAGAGAAAGGTTTTGAATTTACATGCAAATTATTTTATTAAAAAAATGCATAATTGAAAATGAATTTAAGAAAAAATAAATTTTTGAATAATGGGACTCAAACAGGGCACAATGGATAGATTAAAATTAAAATAATATTTAATGATTAATTTAGACTAAATTGAAGTTCACGCACTTGAATTGATTTTTTTCAAATTTCTTTTTCTCATTTTCGACCAAACAGTCGTTAGAAAAAAATATCTTCACACTTTTCACAATTTTTTTTCCAATATTTAAATCACAAAATTTATCTAAAAATTACTTTTTGATTGCAAGCATGGATTTTTCAATTGAATTGACTACAACTTATTTGCATGAAAATTATTAATTAAATATGCTTGATTGACTTAATTACTTTTCTATAAAGTTGAGTATTTAAGAAGATTGAATTGTCTTAAAAAAATAAAATAAAATTATACCCCTATAAAGAAAACCTTTTTTTCTTTAAGAAAAAATGATTACATGAATAATTTTTTTAAAATATTATTCATCAATAAATAAATAATCCAACTGAAGACCTTGTGAACCACTGCTCGCATAGGAGCTTCCTTCTAAGGCGGAATGCTCTTCTATCGATGTATTTTTACATCTCATAGCTTGAAATTGTTTGTTGATATGGACAAAGTCTTGGAAAACCTCTGAAATTTATGGTACATGCAAGGTATTATAGATGTATAATCATTATGATTCAATCGGTTTATTCTATTCCACTTTGAGGGTTAATATTACCCATGATCGCCCAACTTTATACGTAATGTTACAATGACTACCCAATTTTCATATGACATTTCATTATGGCCATAAGATTTTATATAACGTTTTACCATGATCATCCAACTTTTTTCATCATTTTCATTAATTTTAAAAGGGGTAAAAGGGAAACTTTGCATTGTATATATAAAATAAATTTTTAAAAATAAAAATAAAATAAAAACTTATTTTAAAAAAATATTACTTAAAAAAATTATTTTAAAGAAACGTTACTTAAAAAAAATAAAAAATAAAAACTTATTTATTTTTCCTCTTACCATTTTTTGATCCAATGTGGAGATATGGTATGTTTGTTATGCCTTTCATGACTCGTTTAGGAATAATCAATTAAAAAATAAAAACTTATTTTAAAAAAACGTTACTCAAAAAAATAAAATAAAAAGTTATTTTAAAAAATTCCTTAAAAAAATATAATATAATATAATATAAACTTAAGTTTTAAAAAAATATTTTGAAAGAAAGTTACTTAGAAAAATAAAATAAAATAAAAACTTATTAAAAAATGTTTATAAACTTTAAAAAAAATGTTTTTTTATATATAATACAAAGTTATTGTTTTACTCCTTTAAAATGAGTTAAAATGATGGAAAGTTAGATGGTCATGGTGAAACTTTATATGAAATTAGATGGTCAAGATGAAATGTCATATGAAATTAGCTAGCAATGGTGAAATAAAATTAAATTAGGTGGCTATGGTGATACTAAATATAAAGTTGGGTAACCATGGTGAAACAAAATCAAATTGGGTATGGTACACTAAGAGTGTTCAATTGCCAGTATGAAATATATATAGAAAGAAAATAAATTCTAGGCAATTAAAATACTTAGAACTTATTTGTATGAAAATTGTCAATTAAATGTGTTTGATTGATTAAATTTTCAACTTAAAAAATGTTATACCTGTCCATATTTTATTAGTGGGTAGATAAGAGAGAAAGAGAGTGAATTACACCAAAATAAATAAATAAATAAATAAATAAATATATATATATATATATATATACTCCTCTTTTTTTAAAGGAAAATATGGTCATATAACCAAAAGTACGAAATCGTTTTCCATGAAAAAAATTATCAACTAAGTATCACAAAAGTAGGAATTTAAGTAAAAAAAAATGATATTTTTATAAAAAAATATTGACAATCAGATGCACTCTAAATATAAATTTACACGTCCATAGGTGAATTTAACCCAAAATAAAAACTTGGGTGAAAACTGGAAAAAAAAATGAAATTGAGGAAATTACACGGATATAGGTATTTTAACTTCACTGTGCAAAAATAGGCGTAAAGATTTTTCTAATCAGAATTCGGATATTGTATTAATAATTAAATACTACACACTCTACCTAATTCTAAACTAACCATAAATCAATTTTCTTCTCCCTATTCATCTTTGAGCCGTTTCCACCCTAAATCGACGACTAGCGATCATCGTGCACGGGGATAGGCGCATCATCGGTGACAGGCTCAATCTCTCTCCCATTCTCTCTGTGGCGCGGTGCGATCTGTTTCTGTAGCTCGATCTCTCTCTCTCTCTCACACTCTACCTAATTCTAAACTAACCATAAATCAATTTTCTTCTCCCTATTCATCTTTGAGCCGTTTCCACCCTAAATCGACGACTAGCGATCATCGTGCACGGGGATAGGCGCATCATCGGTGACAGGCTCAATCTCTCTCCCATTCTCTCTGTGGCGCGGTGCGATCTGTTTCTGTAGCTCGATCTCTCTCTCTCTCTCTTCTTTTGTTGTTATATTTTGCATTTGTCTCTCTGTTGGTGCGATCAGGTGGCTACGGTAGTGGTGGTGTAATGTGGTTGTGATGTCTATGGTGTTGTTGGTGGAAATGGGGATGGTGGTGGATCTGGTGGCAATGATGGGGTAGAAGTGGTGGCGGGTTTTGGGTTTTTTGTTAGGTGGTGGTTGTGGTGTGGTAATGTCCGTGTTGTTGGCAACGATGGGTTGACGAGTATTAAGATAGTGGTGGGTTTGAGATTTTTTTCGTTGAGTGGTAGTTGTGGTGTGGTAATGTCTGTGTTGTTGGCAACTACGGGCATGGTGTTGGATTTGGTGGCGACGACAGGGGTGGAGGTGGTGGCGAGTTTGGGGTGTGGTGGAGATGGAGATGAAGGTTCTCTGTTCTCGTTGGTCATTGTGTTTGGATATTGGGTTGTTAGTAGTGGTAGTGGTAGTGCAATGGTGGTGGTGGTGAATAAAATAAATTGTGACTTATAAATTTTTTGATATTTGATCTCGATATAATCTATGATCTAGAAAAATTTTAATTTATGACCTCAAAATAATCTGTGATCAATTTGATAATATGTGACTAGTAAATAATCGTGACTTATAATTATGTAAATGTGATCATTAATTATATAACTATGATCTTATTATATTTAATTAATAAAATTTTTAATTAATTAGTTAATACTTGAAATTTACATTTTTAAACTTGAAACTGAAAATTGAATTGCATCATAATTGTCGCCCCCAAAGAAATTTTCCATGGAAATACAGGCCCGACTTTAACCCATTGCCCCCAGTGGACGACTTTCATTTTCAGTCCAGCACAGACCTTAATCGGCATCTCTTCAGATTTGCGCCATGCGCGATGCTATCATCACTCTGTCGCTGCAGCAAATGGTACGCATTCATTTCATCGGCTGTCTCTTGTGCGCTGGGAGTTTTGAAATTTTGCTTCTATTCTATTTATTTTTTTTGGATTGTAGAATTTTCTCTTCTATTTGTATGTATCAGTATAATTCCTCTATTTTGCCTTTCAATTTTCCGAAAGCGAGGAGAAAATTGCAAATTGATAAATATATTGTGTGCGCGCCGAAGATTCAACAAATCAATATTAACTGCTGCTAATCAAGAGCTTTAGACGTCATTCATACGCGATATAATCGTCATAGAAGTCCATGTGGCATCCATTAGCATTAATTTAGGGATTTAATCATCCTCTTCAGGCCCCTCCCCTGCCCCCCACCCAGAAAAGAAGCACAGTGCTCTCATTTGATCTCCAACCTAAATTAGAGGATTGGGTCCCCCACTATGTGCTTAGCACTCAAATGTTATTGACATTCACACCTAAATCTCAACTTCCCACACTTGTCTTTCTTTCTGAATAATATATTCTCTCTTTAGATCTATTTTATCAAAAAATTTAAAGAGGTTGTGATGACAAGTCGAGATCCGCTATTCAAAATTGGCTGTCCAACTTGCATTCCACCAATGATTCATTGACACGTCATTTTACACCCATTTTAAGCACAAGTGGCAGTCAGATAAAATTTGGACATGTTAATTTGAAATGACGTGTCAGTTAATTATTGGGTGAACAACAAATTGGACAGTAGATCTCAACTCAATGATACACATATTTATTTATCCAAATATTTTTATCAAAGTTCTAGTACTTGTATAATTTCTCATAATAAGTGAATTGATATCATGATTAGCCATCTTATCTTTAAGCCATAAGAGAGGGAACTCTTTATTTATATGTAATCTGTTACATGATAATTTTTAATTTATTGTACTAAACATGTTCCCAGTGACAGACCATTACAACTCCAAAAAATCATGCACATGTTTTGAAAGTTGGGGCACCTTTTCAGGAGTGGGGTGACACTACTAATTAATGCATCCTCATAGCACTCTCGAGAACTTTTTCCTGGAAGACCACCTGAAAACCACAACAAACCTTTGTTAAAAGGCCTGAATCATACTAGGTAAGTATTAGTTGCTGAAATTTAGACTGACATGAATATATATGTTATTGTCTTTCTCATTCAAATTTTAGCTGAGGGGTATGCTATATCAGATGTACACATTGGCTACCAGTTAACTCTTGCCGTTCCTTCTGCATATACGGAGGGCTTATCGGGTAGAGCTTATCTGATGGAAACTGAACAACTTTCGCCCAACTTTAGAACAGCGCTCAGTGTGGAAGCTATCAATGAAAAGTACTGGTGTTCGCTTGACATCTTTCTTGGAGATGTAAGAGTATGGACTTCAGGCCATTTATCCAAATTCTACACAACGGAGAAATGCGTGCTTGAGCTAACATATTATGGAGACTTGAGATTGAAGGACCAGAACGAAAGAATCGGATGGCGAAGTGGAACTTCAGGACAGGGTGTGGAGGTAATATTTGAAGTCTGATTCTAGATAAGACCTTATCTGCATATTTAAGAAGATGGATTATCCCTTGTATTTGATAGGATTAAAGAACAAAAATAAAAAACTTAATGTTTGTTATCCAAAAGCGTGTACCAAACATACTATATCAAGAATTAGTCACTGATATCTGATATAAGATTAAAATATGCGACTGCAGAGACTACAATTACTCAGGACTGGCAACCTGGTTCTAGTTGATTCCCTCAACTTGATTAAGTGGCAAAGTTTCAATTTTCCAACTAATATTATGATGTGGGGGCAGAGTCTAAGTTCCGCAACACGGTTAACTTCTTTCCCAATCAACTCAAGTAATTTATTTTATTCATTTGAAATTCAGTATGACAAGATTGCACTGTATTTGAATTTTGGTAATTGGAAGTATTCTTATTGGGAATTTAGGCCTTCCATTAAGAAAAACATTACATTTGTCCAATTGAGTTCTGAAGGGCTGGGATTATTCACTGGAAAACACCAGAAAATTGATCAGATCACGTCAGAAGGACCTGAACCCCTGAGGTTTTTAGCACTTGGAAATAACACAGGTAATTTGGGACTCTATCATTACTCTGCTGAACAGGGAGAGTTTGAAGAATCCTATGAAGCCCTCAACACTTCATGCGATCTTCCTTTGGCATGTAAGCCCTATGGTATATGTACTTCATCAAACATGTGTTCATGCATTCGAGTAGTAGAAAGTGATGGATTCCAACCGGATTGCAGGGCAAGAAATATTGAGGGGCTATGTGGGAGGAGTCGAGCTGAGATGCTCGAGTTACGGGGTGCTATCACTGTCCTCAAGGGCAATCCAAATGAGGCTAATGTTACCAAAGAAATATGTGCAAATCTGTGCTTGGATGACTGTAGTTGTGTTGCAGCACAATATACAAACTTAGGAGAATGCTTTCTGTATAAATTTATCAGGGGAATCAAGCAAGTTGAAAGAAGAAATGGTCTAATTTTCATGGTTAAGATACCAAAAGGAGAAGATGAGGGCCATGGAAGGCATTCTGGATTGCAGAAATGGGTCATAATTGTGGTAGGAGTGGTTGATGGATTCATTATTTTTCTTGTGTTGGGGGGAGTTGGTTACTATATAATTCGAAAGAAATTAAAGAATTCACCAATTACTGGTCAAGAAACATGACCCCATCTAATTGAGTTTTTCCAGGAACAGATGATGAAGTGGACTGACAAGGATTTTTGTTTATCAAGTGGGTTAGAAAAGGGTAAATTCCCTGATCATCCTCAACCTTTATTTCTTGAAATTTCTACCATCAACCTATGTAGATTTTAGCAGTCATTGTCCCAGATAATAGTTTCAGTCAATAATACTGCCATCAACGTGACTTGAAATGTCAATTTTTCACTTTAGTTCACATAAACATTAAAAAGAAGAAGCAAAACTTAAACTGGCTCATCTTCATCTGGCACAGACATTCCCAGACCACTCTTACAAATCCCCCAAACTCACCTCAAGCCACCACCATTGCCCACATCAGCCCCATCGCTGCTCCACCTAAAAGCATTCTCACAGTCCCCACCGCCACTGCGAGTGTTGTAACAGCAAGTTGTAAGAAATAAGCGTTTTTTCACATTTCGCCTTTTTTGGTGAAAAATGATTTGGAATGCCTTTGAATTCGTGGCAGGAGAGAGTTAATGGAGAAATTAAAATTCACCAAACTATGAAGGTGAATTTTGAAGGGAATATAATGTAAATCTTTTGGCTGTGTGCTTGTTGCAGGATTTTGGAAGGTGTGAGTGCTGAACACTCCAATTTTGAGTGGACTTCCTTCTATGAATCTTTCTGTATATTTCTATACTTTTTAGTGTCTTTGTTTCATTCCATTTTTAATGCTTTGGGATTGTTTTCCCCTGAAAAAAATTCTTGGATTTCATGTAAATACATCAATCTTTCTCTGAAGTCTTGTGTGCAACAATCAATTTGTAATCTTTTTACAGGTGATTTATTTGTTGATTCTTTGATTTTGTCTAAAAAATTGCAACCTTTAATTTGTTTATTTCCTTTTCTAGTATTGATTTATTCGTGGCTCCTAATTTTTATTATTTATTCACCCTCACATTCTAAAATCCGTTCACTTCCATGGAGATTGCGTTGGCCTTTTTGTGAACGAACCTCTTAATAGAAAATTATACTCATTCGGATAAGTTGATTAAGGTAGAGACTACAAGAAGAACTTCGCCTACAATACGATAGGGTTGGCTGGTGCACGACGGCGGAGCCAATTACCACCACTGCATAATGAGGGGAGAAAAACGTTGTACATCAAATTGCGTAAGTCAGCCAAAATGAAAAGCAAGTTCAATGTAGCCTTCAAATCAGATTCATTTTTTTAAATCGTTGGTTTAGGTCAATATGGATCAGTTAAAGTTTTGACTTTGTACTTAATTAAAATGCTTTGAAATGATTTGGTTTATATTTCGATTTTTGTAAACCATTTAAAAATTTTGAAATTAAATTAATTTAAATTTATCCAACTCAGTTAAAAATAAACACATTCTAATTACCAAAACTTGTCCATATTAGACCTAACTCGATTAAACATGATACCTCCAATTAAGCTTAATAAACAATTATGAGTGCAAAACCTTCAAATGGCTGTATAGAACGATTGGTTTGAACCATATTTATAGATTGTCGATTGAATAGACAATGAAATTTAGACTTGAGTAAATATATTCACATCACAATTATTATTTCTTGCACCACCTTTTAATTGTACTTGTGGTTTTTAATCTTTGCTCATTATAGTACATACACCCCTAACAATTTTCACGTCATTTTTATCGTCGGATTTTTCATTAGTTAACACATTTTACATTTATAACAGTTTTATGTTCAAAAGTTCTTTGAAATGACATAAAATAATTTATTTTTCTATCATATTTAAAGAAAAAAGTGAGAAAAAATATATTTTCCCCATTTCAAGGCGTGAAAACAAAATATTTTGATATAAATCATCATCAATGATGAGACATACTAGTTAATAGATGTTGAATTTAAAAATTTGAAATAAAAAACTTAAGATAATAATTGCTACAATGAATAAAGTTTGAGGAGTTTAACTGCAATTAAATGTGATCTATCAAATAAAAATTGTGATGAACCACCCTTTAGATTTTAATTCAAACTTACAGTATTTTATTTTCCTTCTAATAATTTTGTCAAATTTCGGCTTGTCAGTTCACCCAAATGTTTTATTTTTTGATAATTATTTGCTATATTTTGTCATAGTTGCGTTGTTTTGTTCTCATATGTGTCGTGTTCCCTTAAAATTTTAACTGAACATTCTTATTATTTTTGTTTATTTGTTTCTCAATTTCCTGGTCTGTCACTCAATTTATTATTTATTTTTTAACTTAATTTGTAGATTTTACTGTTAATTACTAGAACAATTTGATGGATTATTTAAGTGATTGTTATGAAGTTTTGATCGATTAGCATTTCGACATATTATTTTGGTGAAAATTGAATACAAATGAGTGCAAAATTATCACCAAAGACGAGTTAATTATTTAAAAATCTATAGTTGATTCTGAGCGTGCGTTCTCTACCATTGGTAAGATTTTTGATTCTTTTAGAAGTTCGCCGAACGTAAAAATAGTTGAGATATATTAAGAATCGGTTGCATGGTAACAAAGAACATTATATTGATTCATCAATATTTGGATAAGGTAGCGGTATTGAAAGATTTAGAGAAATATGTAGAAGGTCTTTTTATTTATTATCTTTTATTAATTACTTTATATCATTTTAATTATAATTAATGAACACATTTGCTATATTTTTATCTTTATGCTGAGAATAAATAATGTGTTACGATTGAGATGTTGCAGCAATTAGTATCATATGAAAAGTTAGAACTAAAGTGTTTATATCATATTGTTCCACTATAAGAATAAGAGTCGTAAAATTTTGATTTGTAATATTTGTAATGATGCTAACATTTGATGTTTGAACGTGAGGTTTTATATTAATATTAATAATTTAATTTATTCGATTTATATTATTTTTTAATTATTAAATGGTGATTTTAAATCAAATCGAGAAAAGTAATTTGATTTGACTTTGTTTAGAAAGTGAAGTTGTTCAGTTTGATTTGATATCAAATCTTTTTAAGTGGTTCGATTTGAAAATTTGCCCAAATAGATCAAACAGAATCGTGTTCATTCCTAATTTTTAGGGAGAAATGGATAACTCTGTGTTGGTTGAAATATTTTAGCTCTACTCTATTGGTGGAAGAAAATGAGTTGCCATTCCATGATTTTTAGAGTGAGTCCATAACATAAACTTTTTTCATATGATAATGATTACTGTATAGAATTTTGAATTTAATGAGTTTCATATCTATTAACACTATTAACATCGAATCTTATAATTCACCCAAAAAAAAAAAAAAGAAGGAAGAATCACATTCTGATTTTAAGTGGTTCGTACTTGACTAAAATATCCTTGATTTTAGTTGGGTCACATTTTAAGGAAATGATTAAGTGGATACGGGCTTTCTTAAATGGATCAAACATAAAAAGCAGGTCAATAAAGGTGGATACGGTATGCGGGTCCACAATATGGATCGAGTCAGGGTCGTCATCATTGAAATGTTGGAGAACCAATCGAAAATGCCAATTAATTATTTGAAATGACTTCAAATGAACATCTCTGGTCTCTGTCTAATTATGCATCCTTGTCTTCACTAAATCTTATTTCCTCCAACGTTTAATACTTTTTTGATTAACTAAACTATTTTTTCTAGAAGATCGCGCCACCATTTTTTTAATTTTTTTTGGGCATATTTAGAAAAATTCTTTGTATCTAGATGAATACTCTTGCTTGTCATAAATAAATCGGATTTATGAAAGAAGAATTTCAAAAATTTCTGTAAGATGTAAAACTTGATCAGTCTAGTCTAGGTCCAACTCCTTAAAAATCCGATGTTTTATATGGGAAATGCTCGTCCCTTCACTAGGATGTGTCTTGCTAAGCACTAGAGGTCACGTCAGGACGCCTTTGAATTATCCCATGTTCTCAGGTGACGATGTATAGCAGTAACAAAAGAATATATGGTTTGTTAATTCGAAATACCCTAGAAAATATTTTAAATAATTTCTTATCGAGACAAACTCTCAACATATCTCTCCATGGTGGTGGGCATACGTATTTTGTAAGGTCTCTCTCATGGCAAAAATTAGAATAACCTAATTGTCTTAGAAAGAATAAACCTCGTACCCCAAAATTAAAGATCTTGGATATTCTTTTAGCATGAAGGCCTCATGAAGAAGGAGGATTCTGAAAATATCTTTTGACAATAAATTCTTCTCTCTTTTCTTTTCACTCTTAAAAGATTTATCTTTTATAAAATTTATGAAAACTAAAATTTTTAGCTCTTGAAAATATTTCTTGTTCAATACAATAAATTCCAAATATTTAATGAATATAAAATATAATTCTCATAAAAGAAAAAGACTAGACACCATAAGTTTGTAGCTAGAATGTTGTCAAAATGACATATCTCTTCACATTCCTACTTTGTAGGGGTGGAAGTAACATCAATTGAAAAAAAGTTATTTAAGCCAAAAATCTCTTAAAATTCTTCGGGATTATAATTGAATTTGTTGAGTTTGGTAGCTTTCATATGTGGAACTTAGCTATCTATCCAACTTGTGAATGAAGGACACGTCATGAATTGGAATATTTACCACATTATTTTGCACCAAAATTTTCTTATTTTCTAAAGCATTTATGAATATGATAAATTTGTAAGTAGATATATTAGCCCGTGACTTGATGTCAAATCTTACATCAAAATAGTGTGGCTATCTTCCATTTGTTCTTTTATCTTTCCTTTGGTTTTCTTCTTTGGTCAAAATTTCATTTGTCTAGGTCATACAGCTTACGGCATGTTTGGCCATTAGACAATGAATAATTTAGTGTTTGGTGCAATTCATACTTGGATTATATTAATGTCAAGTGTTTGTCCCTCCATTAACCAACCTTTCAAAATTAATAAGCTGTCCAAAGTCGGTTTGGAACGTATTATTTATTCATCATTTCTGAATTATGAAAATATTAGTAAAATTGAAATAAATAAAAATGCATGAATTTACTTATAACTAAATAACATACTACTAAGTAAAAATAGCTTATAAGCAAAACAAGTGAAAATCATTTTTAAGTAAAAAACTTATAAACAAAAAATTATTCATAATTAAAATTGCATATAGTTAAGTAAAATTTCATTTGTAAGTAAGAAATTTGCGTATGAAAAAAAATTACTTATGAGTAAAAATTACTTGAAAATCACTTATAAATTTGGTTATCTCAAACGAGTTATTATCTTGTGAAGTATATTAAGGGAAAAATCTTATTGCTTCATTGTGAAACAATAACCAACATTTAAGACTTTGAACTTCTACTCTTACTTAACAACCTTGACCATGGTATCTATATGGTAAAAACGTTTATGTGAAATAAAATAAAAGAAAAAATTAAATACATAAAGGATTAGGTTATCCAGACATATTTAGAGCTTATAAAGGGACTTAAATCATCTACAATTTAAATGTTTTAGAAATTTGGGCAATCAAATTTTAATGATTCGTTGCTAAGGGTTGTTCACGCATCGATTAAATACTCGCAATATAAACCAATATATAAGGATTTGTTAACAATGTTGATATTTTAATATGAAATTTCAAGTCTTAGTACGATATTAGAATTCATTGTTAAGCTTCAATAAATAATTCGATTCGATCAATATTCAAAAGAGCACAGATTAATATGTTCAAATAAGCAACCATCTTGTGGAGGAAGCGAGTAACCATCTTGTGCTAGATATGTTAAGAGATAAATTTCAGATTAGTTGGATGCCAAGATGTAGATCAATATATAAGGATTTTGACTGTTTAACTTAATAAAGTTGACATGTTAAGATGAAATTTCAAAACTTAATATGATATTAGATTATATTGAGTTCAAACAATTGGTTCAATCTCTTTAAGACTCCAATGAGTAGATGAGTTTTAAGATCGATATACTAAAATGAGCCATCATCTTATAGGACATATTAAGAAGTAAATTTCATATCGGTTAAATATTGGATTACAATCCAATATATAAAGGTTTGTACTACTCCTATAAATAACATCGACTTTTTAAGATAGAAGTCCAATTTTATTAGCTACAAGGACACAATAGTTTATGTATTTGAAAATTTTTGCAACTCAATTAGATAATCAGAGCCCTTTTATAGAAGTATATTTCTTGGACCATAATATTCTCATATAGACAGATGAAAAAATGTTATATGCACATGTAAATATACAGGGGGATGGATAAGGAAACCTTTATAATGAGTACATAAAAAATGGTGTATATATAACATGTAGCTAGATCCAAGTACATGAACAAACTAAGCATTTTGATTTTTGATTTCAAGAATTTAAAGTTAGCTACATAGTGTTTTTTTTTTCTAATACTCTGACGGTTTGTTATTTAGGGGGTGTTTGAGCCACATTATTTTGGTAATAATGCATTCTTGAATAGTGTATTGATGTAAAATGTGTGGTTAAAAAATAAGGAAAAGTTTTTGATCAGCGTGTATTATTATTTTATTGAAGAATGTGTGGTTGAAATGATGTCAAATCCCTATTTAAAAATATTTTTTTTTGAAATAATGTGACTCAAACGCCCCCTAAATCTATTAGAAGATATAAATCCACCAGCTTTTCAGCAACTACAAGTTGGGGTCATTTTATATTTAATCTATTTCTTCCCATTTCAATTTGTTCAATCAAGGTATCATTACACCAATTTCAGAATGTCTACACAAAATATATACTGACCATTTAAGATATTGTTTACATATAAAATATTATGACTAAAAATGTATAGGCATTTCTAGATCTTATATAAATTATTGAGAAATAATTCCTTACAGTGAATTTCCCGTACTCAAAATAATATATGTATATGTACCAAATCATCTCAAGTGAAAAAGAAAGAGGACTTATTGTGCAACATTACTATGATAGCTCTTTTTTAATCTGAAACAGAATAAACTTGATTGAGTTTTGAACCATCACATCCAATCCACTGTATTGTTTCATCATTTAAGGGGCACATAAAATGTAAGCAATCAGTTATTTTCCTATAACACACTCATAAAATTGGACCACACAATGATATAGATTTATATAACAATGTCATAACTACAAGTTTAGTACATAACTCTTGCTTCTTTAGGGTTTTCATGTAAAATCTTAACACATTATTTAATAAGGAAAAAGAAGATACAAAAGAATCCGAAAGGGACGAATAGCTTGATCTCCAACACGAAATAAAAATATACTAACGAAACAACTAATCGATCGATCGACATACAAATTACACCGTTAGTAAATCGAAATTAGCAATTTAAACAACTGAAAAAGATTAGTCCTTTGATCAGTTTAATTCATCAAACCTTTTGGCAAAAAAGAGGTGAAAAATTACAAAGCTTTCATGACCTACAGTCCCTATGAAGTGCAAAATGGAATTAGGGCAAGAGACAAGCTTAGGACATGCAGGATATGTGTTTTTTGGTGGATTGTTGTGATGATTAATGCACACATGTGAGTAGGTGGGTTCGTTCTGCTTTGTCTTTGTGGAAAGGTGACAATATGAATTATTATCAATTAAAATAGAAATGAACAAAACTTTTCACCTATATAGATTCGTTGTGAATTTTTTCAATAGTACGGTGAGACAGATAAAAATTAGTTTACCTAATGCAGTTGTAGTTCAAACAAAATAATATCGGTGTGACTTTGAGTAAATAAAACAGTAATGAAAATGTTTTACATGGAACAACTTAGTTAAGAGATTACGGCATCCAGGGGCGGGTCCAAACTGTTTGAACTGTGGGGGTCAAAAATGAATTTTTTTTTGAAGAACGTATCATTAACGAAAGTAAGACTATATGTTACTACAATAGGATTTGGGTTTGGGCTTTTTGTGCATTGGGCTAAGAAAATTAATTGGGTTGGCTCACTAATTTGATAAAAAAAAAATTACATTTTAAGAAAGGAAAAAAAAAATTCAAAAAATTGTGAGGTCATTTGACCCCACATGACCCCATGTGGGTCCGCCAGTGACGGCATCACGTTTGTCATGTCAAATCTCTTAAGAATAAAATCTCATATCGAATAAAGATGAAAACATAGATAAATTTATAAGAGTTTGTGTCACTCCTCTTAATTATATTGACATTTTAAGATTGAACTCCAAATTTAATATGATATCAAAGTTCATTAATATCAAACCAACAATTCGATTCAATTAAGATTAAAAAAAATGAGTACATAAATTTTAAGATTGATTTGCTCAAACGAGCCATCATCTTATAGGCCATGTTAATGAATAAAATTCAACATTGAATAAAGATGAAAATGTAGACCAATTTATAAGAATTTTGGACTATTTCTCTTAAGAGTTGTGTCCCCATAGGAGTGTTCACGCCTCTTACATAGAGTGGGACTCGCGCGAGGTGAGCCCCATCCCATGGGGGGTGTAGACACCCCTATACATATTTTATGTACATCATGATTTATCATTCTCTTAATTAGGTTGACCTTTGAGATGAAATGCCAAATCTTAATAATATCATGTCTTTTATTGAAGACCACTCTCTAATAATTTAAAATTTTAGATGAAAAAGTTTACATTATATCACAATATGCAAGAAACTTGTAATCAAGTGGCGTGTCAGACTTTTGGTCCCACCTTTATATATATGAGGAAGCGTGTTGGAAACTAACTTTGATAAATAAATGTACCATTGATTCTCTGATAAGATAATTAATATAAGGAGTCGACTTCGATTGCTGATCATTGAAGTTGCAATACAAGATTATTTCAATCGATATAAAGTTATTACAAATAATCATAGTTTGTTGTTATTTTTGGTCTGACCGATTCACCGATGAGGGAAGAGTTTGAAAGAGCTTATGATTGAATATCAATAATTGTTTCTGGACTCAAAGAAATACATAATTTTCTTATATTTAAATATATAGATTTTTTTGATGTGAAGTTTTCATTTATTAAACAGCTCATGCGCTTGATCTTAGTTGTGCATTGGCACTTTCTTGTCTTGTAATTTTTAGGTGTATTACTTGAGCAGGCATCCCCTAAATTTTTTATTATTTTAACATTAATATTAATTTATTAAAATTGCAATACAGTTGTCATTGATAATAACATTATTGTCTGATATAAATAGTTAGGGAATATTTTTCATTCCTTTTCTCAGATTATGTGCAATGAATTTGTTCCTTATTTGAACTCAGACTATTCAATTTTTTTTTTTTTTTGCATTACAGTATTTGGACATAGCATATTACCTAATTTCTAGATAATATTACTAAAGGAATTCATATAATTTCAAGAAAATAGTATAGTACAGTTCCGCATGTTCTACTATCGCATTAACATTCTCATAGTTAGCAGATGTAAGTAATTAAAAAATAATAATAAAATTTTGCTTGTCATACTATCTATTTTTGTCCGAACTTCAATTTCTTTGTATAATGATTAATAAATGGCCCAGCTTTAATCATTTTCTAAACAACTTTAGAATTGTTTGAAGTGTTTGCGTTTCACACGTTTAATTAAATAACGCCTTGAGCATTTACCATTTCATTGTTAACATGATAAGAGTGTGCACTCACGTGCGCAGAATTTTACAAATTTTGACTGCGTGTCACCATGAATAAATATAAATTATATTATATTATATTATATTGTTTTATATATACAAAAAGTTCCAACATCATATCAAATCAAGTTTTTGTCTTAGTGGGATATCAATTCGAATTAAACTAGTTGTACACATATTCTGCACAACTAGTTCTTGGGACGATAACTTATGATGCTCTCGAGTGGATCAACCTTGTTTAGAAGAACTTAAACTTTTGATTATTATTTTCGTGTTTAAGTAATGAATTATAAAGAGGAAAACTAATAATAGGTATGGTTCAACAATTTTAGTAATTTATTAATTAGAAAGAAGAAAACGGCAATAACATTTCAAGATTATTCAAGAACTTTGTGAAAATTTTTAGGAATTCAAAAACATGCTTGCTAGATACCCTTCACCAAATGCCAAATTTCTATATGGTTTAAAGCCTTAAATTAGTAAAATAATATATGGGTCATATTTGATTTTGTTAAAAACAAGATTTTTAGTAGGTTTTAAATAAAAGTTGATGGAATTTGTGGTTGAAAAGTTGATAAAAATTGTAAGTTCTATTAAATTTGTGGTTAAAAATGAGTTTGATAAAAAAATAAATTTTGAAAAATGAGGTCAAACAAGGCATAATCTCCTGTGAAGCTTGTGGTGTAGTACATAACTCATGCAGGAAACAAACAAAGAAATCATACGTCGTTGGGCTCGTCTTCCTTTATAAAAAGCCTCCAAGTACTGCTCTATCTGTTTCTCTGAGAGTTTTTGTGTGTGTGTGTTTGCGAGAGAGAGAGAGAGAGAGAGAGAGAGAGAAGCATGAATTCCAGGAAGCAAAAGAGAGCAGCTCTGTATCAACAACTTCGTTCTGCCACTAATTCCACTTCTGTAAGCACTTTTAGGAAAAACATTAAGATTTACTGTGAGGGTCTTTCTTATGTATGATTTATTTTCTATCGTTGAAGATAGGAGATTTTTCATTTTGCTAGTTTCAATCCATTTCACATTAAAGTGTCTAGATTTATTGAATTCTACGTATTATTGAATTTTGAAAATAAAGTGATTGAACATTTTTAATTTTCCGTCTTCCAATCCTCTTGTTGTTCTACTTCTCTTTCAATTATAATTCTAAATTTTTAGATATGATCATAGCTATAGACACTACAGAACCCCATTTTCTTTCCCCTTAATTTTTTTACTGTAACTTCATAATTTGCAGGTGACTACAACGTCAATAGTCGTGGATGCGACAAGATATATAGAGGAGCTGAAGGAAAAAGTACAAAAACTAAATCAAGATATTGCAACTCTACAAAATTCAGATGAACAAAGCTCGTCATTACCAATGGTATAATTAATTAAAAACTCATTCGGCACGTTTTATACGATGGAGTCCGCCTCAAAACATTATAAAGGAAGAAAGCGAAACTATATTTTTCGTCTATTAAAGCGTCCAATCCTTTCTATGCATAAAACTTTTCAAGGCAGCTTTGACTTTAGGCTGTTTATATGATGATAATTTTCTGTTTAATTAGTCATCAACTGGTCTTAAATTTTTGTCTTAATAAACTTCAGCAGGTTACAGTGGAAACCCTAGAAAAGGGTTTCCTAATTAATGTATATTCAGAAAAGAATTGCCCTGGTTTGCTTGTCTCCATACTGGAAGCATTTGAGAGGCTAGGCCTTGAAGTACTCGATGCTAGGGTTTCATGTTCTAATAATTATCGTCTCGAAGCCGTTAGTGAGGTAATGAATTATTTACAATCTTACAGAAACTTGCGTTAAAAGCATTATAACTTGTACAGTTGTACATCAATCTCAAATATTTGTTATGCATTTGAATTACTCCATATGCCACAATCAAGAATCAACCTCATAATTTGGAGTCACTTATTGTCAAAACACTTGATTTAGTATGAAATTAACCCCGAATTCGAAATTTTATGCTGTTTCTATGTATTCTAATAATTCTGGTGATCTAATAATACCTGCAGACAAGCAAATAGTTTCTTCAGAATTAGTATTTTAAGCTAATGAAAGTGTAAGAAGAATTTTCGTTGCAGAATGAAGGACAAGCTGAGAGCATAGATGCCCGGGTGGTTAAACAAGCAGTAGTGCAAGCTATCAGGAATTGGAGTGAAAGTAGTTAGCAAAATTAATTTGTTGGCTCGTCGTTCTCATTTCATCTTTTCCTTCTACCAACGTTATGCAGCTTGTTTAGTTTGAAAACTTTTTATCTAATAAAGTATAACTGCTTATACTTGACTGAGTTGTTTTAGAAAATTATATATTTTATGTTAGTTTATCAGAAGGACGAATTTGGTAGTTGTCACATGTTATACATAGACCTCATAATGCTCTTGTTAATGACAGTAATATGTATATATTTCTAGAATGAATAATATGCTTAACTTATTTGATCACGTATATATTTGAAGTGTGTATAAGTTTCAGATTCTTAAAAAACCAGTTTTCTAGTTCATATTTTGCGTTTGTTTTAAGAGGTATTTTTTTTCAAGTAAAAAATATTATTTTATAGAATGTGATTGAAATGATTCCCAGAAAAGAAAAAAAAAAAAAAATTTCTCCCAACAAATAATTTTTTATAGAATATGATTAAAAATTATTTAAAAAAAAAAAAAAAAAAAATCTTAGTTCAAACTCTTACAAGCCCCTTAGATAGATGGATCTATTGAGGACCAAAACGAAATCCTCTTTGCTGTTTACTGACCAACTGGGATCAGTCCATTAATATTGGGCCAGTTCACTATTTCAATTAGAAAAAGAGAAAATTAAGCAAATCCCCACATTTTAACTATACTTTTCAAATATCAAATCTTAAACTTTTTTTTTTCATAAATCAGGTGTTAATTAATATTTTAATAATATTAAATATATGAATAATTTTATTTTAATAAAAATGAAATAATGATAATTCCAATTTCTCTATTAATTTCTGATAAATTTAATGATGCTCATTTCTAGAAAAATCTATAATTACTTGCCTACAATATCCTAGAATTCCTTGGTAAGCAAGTATAATAAAAAAAAAAAAATTAGAATTATCTAGATTCCACTAGAGTAACTTGGACACCAAAAAAATCTTGTATAAGTTGTAGACACTTGTAGAATTTTCTAGAAGATGTGATAAGAGTCTATAAATAGGGCATGATCCCTCATTTGTTTGTAAGAAAAAAAGAAGTTAGACAAAGCTCAAGCTATTGTAAGCCATCATCATTCTAATAAAATTCCTTTCTCCTACCCACTTTGTCTACCAAATTACTTTCTACCAAAATCTTCCAAACTATTAACTTTCAATAAAAAGCCAACTACTTTTTTCCTTCAAAATTATTCCATACAAAACATCCTCAATCATCCTATCTCATCACTACAACAACACAAAAACTATCAGTGGTATCAGAGCCACGTTCGATTGATATTGGGCGTACGCATAAATGATGGCAGACGCTTTCCGCTCATCAATTCCTATCCCAACATTTAATGGGGATAACTATGATTTTTGGTCTATCAAAATGAAGACCTACTTTTGTGCTCAAAATTTATGGGATGTCGTCAACGATGGGTATACTAACCCAGATGACATTTCCACTTTAACTTCTGCACAAAAGAAGGAACTTAAGGAGAATCAACAAAAAGATTCTCTAGCATTACTTTCTTTACAAATGAGCTTGACGAATACATATTTTCCAAGAATTATGGGAGCCAAAACAGCGAAAGAAGCATGGGATAAGTTGAAGGAGGAGTTCTACGGCAGTAACAAGGTACGTACTTGCCGCCTTCAAACTTTAAGAAGGAATTTTGAAAATCTAAAAATGAAAGAGTCAGAAATCGCAAAAGATTATTATTCAAGAATAGATGAAATAGTAAATCAATTAAGGTCTTATGGTGATGATGTTCCCGAAAAGAAGGTTGTTGGAAAAATTTTAATTACTTGCACAGAAAAATATGATCCAATTATTGCAGCTATTGAGGAATCCAAGGATATAGATGAATTAACAGCTGCAGAATTAATGGGATCATTAGAAGCTCACGAAAAAAGATTAGAAAGGCGCTATGAAATGGAGATAGAAAACGCTTTTCAATCGAAACTTAATATGCGGTTTCAAAAATCTAAAGAAGGTGGAAGAAAATTTAAAGAGAATTTAAAAAATAAAGAAATTCAAGGAAAAGAAGTTGATAAAAACGACAAGTATTCTTCATGCAGTATTTGTAAAAGAAAAGGTCATCAGGAGAAAGATTGTTGGTTTAAAGGTAAACCACAATGTCGTAACTGTAAAAAATTTGGACATGAAGAGAAATTTTGTCGCCTTAAACAAAATCATCAAGCTAATTTCTCTGAAGAAAAGGAGACAGAAGGAAATCTATTTTATGCCTCCACGAAGAATGTCTCTGAAAAGAAATTAGATATGTGGTATCTAGATAGTGGCTGCAGTAATCACATAACGAAGGATGAAAGTATTTTCTGCAGTCTCGATAAAATAAATACAAAAATAAAAATTGGCAATGGAAATTTTATAGAGGCTACAGGTAAAGGTACTATTGCCGTTGATACAAAAAAGGGCAAGAGATACATTAATGAAGTTCTCTTAGTCCCTACTATAGATCAAAATCTACTAAGTGTAGGTCAGATGATGGAGAAAGGATACAGTATACATTTTGAAGGAGATATTGTACAATTTATGATAAAAAAGATAAACATCTGGTAATTGCAAACGTCAAAAAGCGAGAGAACAGATGCTTTCCAATCCAATGGAGATACGCAGACAATGCGGCAATGGCGGTGCAAGTAGACGAGTCATGGTTGTGGCATAAAAGATTTGGACATTTCCACTTCCATGGGTTAAAGATTTTGAAGCAAAAGAGCATGATGAGAGACTTACCAGTCATAAAAGAAATTGATGCAATTTGCGAAGGATGCTTAAGTGGGAAACATCACCGTCAACCATTTCCATCTGGAAAAGCACGGAGAGCCAAAAAGCCTTTAGAGTTGATACATACGGATGTATGTGGCCCGATGCGTACTCCATCACATAACCAAAACAGGTACTTCATTCTATTCATAGATGACTATACTAGAATGACATGGGTATATTTCTTGCAAGAAAAATCCCAAGTATTTGAGATTTTCAAAAAGTTCAAAAGCTATGTCGAAAAGCAAAGTGGTTGCAAAATCAAAACTATTAGAAGCGACAGAGGCAGGGAATATATATCAAATAAATTCAACAAGTTTTGTGAAGATGAAGGAATGGAGCATCAACTTACTGTTGGGTACG